TGTCGTTCTTTGGTTACCTTGGATCTACTAGTTGTTATCTGAAAAAAATGAATATTGCGACCATTTAGCAGTAACTTTTGCTCAAATCATTCATTTTCAAATGAATTCACGATGCGTGTCACTTAGCAATTATCTCATATATTCACTCGCTACTAGTTTCGTTCAAAGGTGGATATTATATCTGTGATCCATTTTTAGAATTTGTCATTTCCGTTATTTAACGATTGCTTGCGTAGTGCGATAATGACACAAGAAATGATCGTACGTCGTCAAATAGAATGGTATCTTTCTTTCGTCGGAAACGACCCCATTCAGGTCAATTTCACTTTCCATTGATCTGTTCATTAATTTTTTGAAAATGTTTAATCTAAAAGAATTCAGGTGCTAGATTTAGAAGTGAAATTGTTTTTAAAATTTTTTAATGGTCAATCAGGATTGCGAGGAGTCGAAAAAATTTCTGTTCTAAGTTTTTTCTGAATAAACTGTACAATAGAAATTACATGATATCATTTATCCATCAAACTTTTCTCGTTGAAACGATATTGCGATGAATCGCTTATGTGAGTAATTAGACAAACTGTCGCTTCTAAAAGTGAACAATGAAAGCGATTCATTGTTGTGGGCAACAAAAAACTTTTCTAATCGAAATTAATTTCAATACGGAAAATTGAGTGCANGACGCATGCGATTGATTTTGATCTTTTGAATGTATTAACGAATTATGTTAATTGTCCTAAAAATGGTTTTGTTGCACGACAAATAATCAACAAACTCAATAAGGTGATGATGGAGCAGCAGACTCACATTAATCAAGAAATCGTTGGTTTTGGGTCATATTATCGCTAGGTTTTTTCATATCAATAGGTTCCAAATCAGCTCATGAATCAAATCTTAAACACCGAGCACAGTTAATTGCTATTATTTTAGTAGTATAGAATTGTCTTTATTACTGTTATCATTATCATTGTGACTTCTTTTATGAACATTATGGTTGCTGATGGAACGAGTAATAATTCAGATGAAGCATTGGCTCGATTCACTGTATTCGGCTTCACCAGATACTTCGTATGAAGACGACTCGATGAGTAAATCATTTCTGTTAAATGACATTTACAGTAGCACTGAGAGTGAGGATAACGACGCTGACGATGAATATTCAATGCGAGCAAGTTTGTTTAGTATCAGTAAGTTGTACTTCGATATGGTTTCAGTCTTTAATTTACTATTGAAATTTACCTCTAGCGTGCAAAGCATCAGAAATTTGATAATATTTTTATCTCACATTCAATTCGTTCTTAAACACAATGGTACAG